TGTTCTGACAGGATGAGTCATGCCTAGCCTTTCAGGTTAGGTGTATACTGCTACACCAGCCATGTAGAATTTACAAAAACTGTGTCAGTGATCTACACAAAGAGATAGGACTCACTACCATCTGATAAGACCCACGATTATCACATTACCAGTCGATCTGCATAATATGTAAAATTTGAGAGGTGTACAATTAGTCTGCTTGTGGTTCAGACCTCCAACAAAAATTTACCACTGTCATTTACAAGCTGGTACAAACATGCTTTCAAACTTTTTATCTTTTTAGAAAATAGCTCCCACAATCAAATAAGCTGTCCATGAAAGTCATGCCTAGTTGTATTTTCCCATAGACTAATTATATATATTTTGACAAGATCAGGTGTTCTGAATCATAAATCATGTTAGAGGCATTCAGTTCAGATCCTATATGTACAAGTTTATGGCTGTGTATCAACTCTTGAAGTATTACTGGGTATTAACATTACCAAGCTCCACTTCCATGAGTTCACCAAATTGCATTAAGTCAACATGAACAGAATTGCAGAATATGTACAACAGAAAAAAGGAACATTAATAAGATAAACCTAAAATACGAACTCCCAACCTAGTGATAAATATTTGTCTCAGTTTATATTCTGGTTGATTGATTAGTTTATTAGCCTGACCTGTCCTGTAGGAAAAGAAAGCTTCCTTCACAAAGCAGCAGCATAAATTATCTTTTGAAAACAAGATAGAAATGAAGTGGACTTGTGGAAACATCCACCATGTTTTTTATTTTTCATCCTCACATGAAACTGTTCATTTTTGCCCAAGTTTAATTGACCTACCTTTTGTGAAAATATTTCAGCTTTAGCAGCACACTTAATTCTACCTTTTAATTTCAACCTGATAGACAAAACCTATTTCTGGTGTAATTAAGGCAAAATACTTCTGGCTATCCAAAGGTCTACTACTGACCTTCCTTGAAAGCGGTTGTCCATGTCATGACCATCAGGACAAGGATACGTGTCATCATAAATCAGCCTATAAATGTTGTGCTCTTTTTATGTGTCATAATGCGACTGATTGGACCTATATCTCTATACTCTGCGGTTTGTATGCTATATACCAGGCAGGGTCACTAATAACTCGGATGACACTGCTTTATTCACACTTGATTTACCTAATTCTGACCCTAATACTGTTACTATACACTGTCTATATATATCCTATCAATACAGTCATATTCCAATACAGACATTTTCAAGTATTATTTTAGCAGAGATACAGGTTAGCCACTAATCACTATAACATTGTCCCTGTGAACATTATTTTCAATACACATTCTGATGGGTAAGCTTACACAAGATTCAATGTACACTCTAAACCATCACTCCACTACCCATTACAGATCAGCCAATATATTCTATAAAACAGGTCGTCCAACTCATTACAGATCAGCCAATACATTCTATAACACAGCTCCACCACCCATTACAGATCATCCAATATATTCTATATCACCCCTCCAACTCCCAGTACAGATTAGCCAATATATTCTATATCATCACTGTAGACCAGATTGTTATGAAGCTATCTACATCATGACCATTCACTGTAGACCAGATTGTTATCTAGCTATCTACATCATGACCATTCACTGTAGACCAGATTGTTATCTAGCTATCTACATCATGACCATTCACTGTAGACCAGATTGTTATCTAGCTATCTACATCATGACCATTCACTGTAGACCAGATTGTTATCTAGCTATCTACATCATGACCATTCACTGTAGACCAGATTGTTATCTAGCTATCTACATCATGACCATTCACTGTAGACCAGATTGTTATCTAGCTATCTACATCATGACCATTCACTGTAGACCAGATTGTTATCTAGCTATCTACATCATGACCATTCACTGTAGACCAGATTGTTATCTAGCTATCTACATCATGACCATTCACTGTAGACCAGATTGTTATCTAGCTATCTACATCATGACCATTCACTGTAGACCAGATTGTTATCTGGTAGGGTCAGAACAGGTGGTATTGAGCAATGACTTGGCGTATCCTCACTGAGACCCTATTACAGATAGATAAAGTGCAGCCTTTACACTGATTCTGGGTGAATAGGTACATCTGTACCGATCACTATATCCATCTCTGCTGCTGTACATCCAATTTGGTTACAGAACCATCCCTTCTAGCATATTTCTTGGACAGTGTATTTAGGTCAAAGTTTCTTGGCAGTGGTTAATTTAGTGTAACAACACACCAAGGACTGATCTATGTGCATTGACATGAGTGAGTGATAGTCTTATGTAAGTCTACTTCTGGCTATGCTGTGATTACTGCCCATGTCAGGCTAGTAGCTCTCCAGGGGTCAACACCATTACTGTTACAAACACCCAACAGCTGCCTTGTTATGGTCCCAGGTCAAGGTCATGGTTTTTACCAGCTGCAGTGCAGTCTATCTAGTATGAGTTTAACACTTGATATATTGAGTAAATTTTGTTATAACAATGAAAATGAACATCATCACATACACATATCTGTGGGGGTAGGGGTGGGGGGAATGGTGTTGTTGTCACCTTGGTGATTGTGAAGTGTTTAAGAGAAAGGCAAATGGTATGATTTTATCTGCTGGTTTGTGATGCTATTGATTATGTTATAATACACCTGATGTTTATAAAGTTTTCATGTGATAAAGATATTGATATTCCTCAGTCATAAATATTTCACATATTCAATATTTAAGGGTAAAATGTATGCTCTACCACCTGACAGCTGATAAATTAACTAGTTATACAATAGACATCAGAGAATTCAGGTAAACAAAGCAAGTTGTTTTACACACTTCTGGATCAACATCCCATTACATATAGGGGGAACAATCTGGATCAACATCCCATTACATATAGGGGGAACAATCTGGATCAACATCCCATTACATATAGGGGGAACAATCTAGATAAGCATCCCATTATATATAGGGGGAACAATCTGGATCAACATCCCATTACATATAGGGGGAACAATCTGGATAAGCATCCCATTATATATAGGGGAACAATCTGGATAAGCATCCCATTATATATAGGGGGAACAATCTGGATCACCATCCCATTATATATAGGGGAACAATCTGGATAAGCATCCCATTATATATAGGGGGAACAATCTGGATCAACATCCCACTATATATAGGGGGAACCAGGGGAATCATATATAGGGGAACCAATCTGGATCAACACCCCATCATATATAGGGGGAACACAGGATCAACATCCCATTATATATAGGGGGACCAATCTGGATCAACACCCCATCATATATAGGGGGACCAATCTGGATCAACACCCCATCATATATAGGGGGAACACAGGATCAACATCCCATTATAGTAGAGAGTTCATACAGGGGGAACAATCTGGATCAACACCCTGTTATATATAGGGGGAACAATCTGGATCAACATCCAGCTGTAGCACAGTTCATAAAAGGGAGACAATAACATTTATATAGACAATAAAGAGAGGGAGTCATGAATACCTAATAGGAAAACATATAAACTCATATTGATTGATTCTGACCAACATCGACCTAAATCAAGATTTCACTAACATAAAGCAATAAACATGCTCATGTAAGAATTAGAGTTATTTGACAAAAAGCAAAGATAATATCTATATCAAATATCTGGCAAATCTTCAGGGGTAAATTGTTGGAACAGCAAAGAAAGGGGTAAATTGTAGGAACATTAAAGAATGGGGTAAATTGTTGGAACACCAAAGAGTTTGGTAAATTGTAAAGAACACCAAGAAGGAGGTTAATTGTAAAGAACATCAAAGTTGGAAGTTGCACAGAACACCTAAGGAATACAATGAACAACACCTATAGAAGAGATCAATGGTATGGACAAAATAGAGGGTCAATCTCGCCGCAAAACAGAAAGTATCAATTAGAAAATAAAAGTATATATCAGAAAAATCAGAAAATAAAGGTGTAGTGTATACAAACCTGCATTTCTTTATAGAAACTTTTTACCTTGATAGTAATTCTGTGTATTTTTCATCAACTAATCAGTAACATACTGTATTGATTTGGCTGCTGCTGTTTGTTATACATTAAATACAAGGAACCTACTTCAATACAGTCTACACAGATGGTATCAATACAGAGCCTAACACAGGGCATGTACAATCATCAAGCATGTGTGTGACCAGGACAAAGTACAACTAGTAGTGTATTGGAAGGTACTGAGGCACAAGGTAAACATGTTCAATACTAAGACACCAGGTATATAACTACGTAGGTGTATAAATAGACACCATGTGTGATCTCTTACAAACACCCTACTGCTACACAGCAGATAAATGATCTATAATACAATTATTAGGAAGTTTATCTAAAGCAAGTTGTACTTGGCTCTCATTTCTTTGTGAAATACTTGAAACAAAACATTCCTTGCCATTGAAAAGGATATCATTCATTTAGATTTATTCCTGTCAATATGAAAACAAAATTCAGTGTGATAACACTTTAGTGGTAAACATTAAGTGGATGTAATATATAATTAGACAAGAAATAATCACAGAAATCTAACAACAATATTTATCACTTTAAAGTGTTCATCAGTTCCCTATACTGAAAAGTAAGCAAGTGAAAGGTATTGAATAATTAGTACATTCAGTTTATGTTTCCATTTTCTGGGTGACCTGATTTCAGTCCAAGAGATTTTTCTGCCGAACATACATGAACAAATGAACTGAACAACAGCAGAATGACACTGTTTTTTTTTTTATATAGTTGAGTATGGAACATATGTAATGAACACGCCACCTTTCAATCTTCAAAAAAAGGACTTGGAAAAGAAGACCGATTTCACTTTTCATCATGTCACTCTCATCTAAGATATATATAATTTCAAGACATAAGATGATAGTACTTCCAAATCCAAAGTTCTACATTGTTAATCACAAGTAGGATAAGTATAGAAGTGAGACTTACCGATGTAGACTGGAGATCTTTATCCTTATTAGTTTGTCTTGTGCGTCTTGGTCCAATGCCCACTTCCACTCCACGTAATATAGAATCTACCACTGAAAATACACCACAACAGAATGTCAACGGTATCGTCAGTGAAATATATATTGTTGTATCAAATACTTCCACACACTAAATCACACTTAACAAGTCTCTACCCGATCCTAATTCCAGGCGTAACGACAAAACAAAAGTTGTTTACAATGGTTGAAATCTTCCTCAGCTGAATGTGAAATGCTCCAAAATGTCGGTGATATGAATCATGCTATATCGCAGGTGTAAGTCTGACCGGGCTAGACCACATCTAGGAGCTGACTTGCCACAGGCTGTGTGTTGGAGAGATGTAGTAGTACATACAACATGGCAGCCGATGTGATGTAGGTCATCTCACCAACAAATAATAATATACCAGCCTTTCTCTCTTACCCAGATAAACTCTATCTAGAACAATCAGTCCTGACCCTGTAACTCTAACATATCAACAACTGTCAAACACATCAATATTTCAACCAGAGAAAAACCTACTTACAGTTGTACAATCCCACTCTGTCATCTGATACATCTATATTAAATTGAAATCTGAAAAATCACACTACAAACCAAGTGTCCACACATACCACTCAAAGTGTTTGTTATAAAGAGGAATTTACGACTCCATTAAGATTGTTACATTAGATCTCACCATAAAACCCACCAAGTCTGGCACTTGTAAATCAACAGTTATTCCTGTGTATGGAGCTGAAGATAGAAGCCAGCTCTGCCACCAGGGTAAAGGTGATTGGGAGAGATGGCTGATGTGTCTGGTGGTACCAACACTAATGACCTGTGACATGGTCTACCATTACACCCCCTAGAGTGTGTCCAACACCATCAGTAAATCAATACTAACTTTGTAGTAGTCTTGCAACACATACACAATCCAACAATCAAGGTAAACCTACACAACTTTAAGAAATCAGGATTTGGGTATTCAAAGTCACATTAGTGTACTGTAGCATACACCATTAGGCTACAACAGAATCATCATTTAAACAACTTATGTCCAATAAGGAGGACAGAACAGAAATGTGCTATGCAAAGTACTCTTTTCTGTATAAATGTCAAAAGACAAAAAACTTTAATTACATTTCAACTGAAATTTGCAAATCCTTTTAAAAGCATGACATGAAAATCACACTGAACTATGGTCATAAACAAATGGTTAAACAATATATAACAGCCTCCATGTCAACAACTTATTATATTAGAATTAAAAATTATCATGACACCTAATACTTTGGTCAGTTTTTTTTAAAAAATTATACATTAATTACAAATAATGGATCTAAGCTTTATGTAATAATACTGATGTCAGTGAAGAGAAAATAAAAGGTAACACTGACCTATATCTAATATATAGGTACAGGGTAGTGTAAAAAGTATCTAAGTTTCTCATTTCTGGTGTCAATCAACTATATACAGCAATGAAATATTTGTACAAACCCCCTCAAATTCCCAAAAATAGACCCTACATCAACATTATAATTAAAGTGTTTTATGTGCTGCCTATACAACTACTATCTAGGTAAGGCTTTGGATTATATCATTTGATCAATCAAGAGCTGTCATATACAGGTGTGACAATGTCAATACAGACATTAACAAGGCCAAAGAACATGCATATCTGTGACAATCAATGTTTGATGCCTTTCTACCTAATATTCAGCAAATCAATATTAATTCACAAAGTCTATACTTTTCCATATATATATCACATTCAATAATCTAACAATGTACGTGAAAGATATCTACTTTTAACACAAAATGTCAATATTGATACTAACCAAACTTATTCCACAGCAATACTATAAGTGAAGACATAACATAAAGGAAAGCATAAGAAAAACATCAGGTATACACCAAAACATCAGGTGTACCATCAAAACATCAGGTGTACCATCAAAACACCAGGTTTATAGGAAAACATCAAGTGTACCATCAAAACATCAGGTGTACATCAAAACATCAGGTGTACTATCAAAACATCAGGTGTACCATCAAAACATCAGGTGTACATCAAAACATCAGGTGTACCATCAAAACATCAGGTATACACCAAAACATCAGGTGTACCATCAAAACATCAGGTGTACATCAAAACATCAGGTGTACCATCAAAACACCAGGTTTATAGGAAAACATCAGGTGAACATCAAAACATCAGGTATTCACCAAAACATCAGGTGTACCATCAAAGCATCAGGTGTACCATCAAAACACCAGGTTTATAGGAAAACATCAGGTAAACATCAAAACATCAGGTGTACAATCAAAACACCAGGTATACACCAAAACATCAGGTATACCATCAAAACACTAGGTATACACCAAAACATCAGGTGTACCATCAAAACACCAGGTTTATAGGAAAACATCAGGTGAACATCAAAACATCAGGTGTACCATCAAAACACCAGGTTTATAGGAAAACATCAGGTATACATCAAAACACCAAGTATGCACCAAAACATCAGGTATACATATAAACATCAGGTATTCACCAAAACATCAGGTATACATCAAAATATCCGGTGTACATCAAAACATCAGGTGTACCATCAAAACACCAGGTTTACACCAAAACATCAGGTATACATCAAAACATCAGGTGTACCATCAAAACATCAGGTATACATCAAAACATCAGGTATTCACCAAAACTTCAGGTATGTCACTTCACATAATGTTTACTCATGGGTAAAGTTTTCAACCAATTTTTCCTTAAGATCAGCAAAGAATTCAAATCACTTGCACAGTAATCAAATTTGGCAAAACATTTTTACGGAAGAAATGTACATGTGGCTAATTAGAATTTTTAATTAACACTAGCTGTAAATAGCTAATCACCAAATGTGGGATAAAATCAGCTGGTAATGATGTCTGTTCAGTTAAGGTTGATCAGGTGGCGACATGCTGACCATCATCAGGAAGTCATCTTAATATATTCAAAAGTTAGATTCCATCTTTTGACAGGAAGGATAAGTGGAGTTTAATAAAGTTTTATAGCAAATAGATATTTAAAGGAAAATGAAAAGGGTAATCTATGTAAATGATAAAGGTAAAGAAAGAATAAAGAAATACTGATTACCTATGCATGAAAAAGAGAGTAGGATATAGCAACAAACACTATATATAAGACAAGGTACAACAGTAGACTGTCACCAACAGGAAAAACAAGTACTGTATGTAAGACAAGGTACAACAAGTACTGTATGTAAGACAAGGTACAACAGTAGACAGTCACCAACAGGAAAAACAAGTACTGTATGTAAGACAAGGTACAACAGTAGACTGTCACCAACAGGAAAAACAAGTACTGTATGTAAGACAAGGTACAACAGTAGACTGTCACCAACAGGAAAAACAAGTACTGTATGCAAGACAAGGTACAACAGTAGACTGTCACCAACAGGAAAACCCAGGAATGTATGCAAGACAAGGTACAACAGTAGACAGTCACCAACAGGAAAAACAAGTACTGTATGCAAGACAAGGTACAACATTAGACAGTCACCAACAGGAAAAACAAGTACTGTATGTAAGACAAGGTACAACAGTAGACTGTATGTAAGACAAGGTACAACAGTAGACTGTCACCAACAGGAAAAACAAGTACTGTATGTAAGACAAGGTACAACAGTAGACTGTCACCAACAGGAAAAACAAGTACTGTATGTAAGACAAGGTACAACAGTAGACTGTCACCAACAGGAAAACCCAGGAATGTATGCAAGACAAGGTACAACAGTAGACAGTCACCAACAGGAAAAACAAGTACTGTATGTAAGACAAGGTACAACAGTAGACTGTCACCAACAGGAAAAACAAGTACTGTATGTAAGACAAGGTACAACAGTGTATGCAAGACAAGGTACAACAGTAGACTGTCACCAACAGGAACAACAAGTACTGTATGTAAGACAAGGTACAACAGTAGACTGTCACCAACAGGAAAAACAAGTACTGTATGTAAGACAAGGTACAACAGTAGACTGTCACCAACAGGAAAAACAAGTACTGTATGTAAGACAAGGTACAACAAGTACTGTATGTAAGACAAGGTACAACAGTAGACAGTCACCAACAGGAAAAACAAGTACTGTATGTAAGACAAGGTACAACAAGTACTGTATGTAAGACAAGGTACAACAGTAGACTGTCACCAACAGGAAAAACAAGTACTGTATGTAAGACAAGGTACAACAGTAGACAGTCACCAACAGGAAAAACAAGTACTGTATGCAAGACAAGGTACAACATAGACAGTCACCAACAGGAAAAACAAGTACTGTATGCAAGACAAGGTACAACATTAGGCAGTCACCAACAGGAAAACCCAGGAACTGTATGCAAGACAAGGTACAACAGTAGACTGTCACCAACAGGAAAAACAAGTACTGTATGTAAGACAAGGTACAACAGTAGACTGTCACCAACAGGAAAAACAAGTACTGTATGTAAGACAAGGTACAACAGTAGACAGTCACCAACAGGAAAAACAAGTACTGTATGCAAGACAAGGTACAACAGTAGACTGTCACCAACAGGAAAAACAAGTACTGTATGTAAGACAAGGTACAACAGTAGACAGTCACCAACAGGAAAAACAAGTACTGTATGCAAGACAAGGTACAACATTAGACAGTCACCAACAGGAAAAACAAGTACTGTATGCAAGACAAGGTACAACATTAGGCAGTCACCAACAGGAAAACCCAGGAATGTATGCAATACAAGGTACAACAGTAGACAGTCACCAACAGGAAAAAAAAGTACTGTATGCAAGACAAGGTACAACAGTAGACAGTCACCAACAGGAAAAACAAGTACTGTATGTAAGACAAGGTACAACAGTAGACTGTCACCAACAGGAAAACCCAGGAATGTATGCAAGACAAGGTACAACATTAGACAGTCACCAACAGGAAAAACAAGTACTGTATGTAAGACAAGGTACAACAGTAGACAGTCACCAACAGGAAAAACAAGTACTGTATGCAAGACAAGGTACAACATTAGACAGTCACCAACAGGAAAAACAAGTACTGTATGCAAGACAA